CGGGGGGCGGCTCAGCAGTAGATTGCTTGCCTCACATGTACAAGGCAATGGTTTCCACTCCCAGCACTACAAAGAAATAAAATTTCACTGTTGTATATTTCATGTTTCAATTGATTTGATAACTTTCTCAGTAAAAACGCAGAATGTATTCCCTCTGAGATAAAACTTTAAAGAGCTGGTGCAGTTCAGTGGCAGAATACTTGCCCAGCATGCACAAGGCCTCAGCTTCGATCCTTAGCGCTACAAGGAAAAAAACATTTGCAAACAGGAATGCACTTGTCTAGGAGTTACTCAGGCAACCTCCACACATGACACAAAGGGGACAGTGTGTGCTGCTGAGAGCGAAGCAGAGCTTGCTTTCTTTCCTTTTTGTTCTTTCTTCCTACATTTAATGCAGGCATTAAAGGCATTAAAATAAAGAAAAAAAAAAGGAATCCATGCAGTACAGGAAATAAGAAAAGGGCTTCTCTTCTCAAAAGTCCTTGGGTGGGGCCAGGGATTTAGCTCAGTGATTCCGGCTCCCAAATTCAATCCCCAGTACCCCCCCCCAAAAAAGTAATCCTGGGAACTAAAGTAAACTATAATTGAACTGCAAGGGGTGTACATGAGGCAAGCGCAGAGTCGGTGGAGGTGGAGGGGTAAAGCTGAAGGTGATAACAGTATCAACACTCAGGACGAGAACTATCTGGATGATATTAGAGTACGTCCTATTCTTAGGAGACATCTTCTGAGGGCCTTAGGAGCAATAGCGTCAGGGCTGCAACTTATTCTAATGGTTCGGAAAAAAAAAAAAGATGCAAAGTGTATATAATACTTTTAATATTCTTGCACTTTTTCTGTAGGTTTGAAATCAAAATGAAACTATGGTTGAGAGTTTGAGAGGAACTGTAAGATATTTTCCCAACATCAAAAAGCCACTGTGCAGATTACTTATTAGAGAGGGAGAAAGCTTTGCAGTGAAGAAGTATCTTGGCCACCCGCCTAAATATGCAGTCAATTTCAGCACCCCCAGTAAGGACCGAAGCTGAACATCATGTGCCTTCTGCTGTGATTCCCCAAGAAGCTGGTTTTAACCTGCTCCCAACTTTAACCAGAACTGCACAGCTCCAAAATGCCAAATACATGTAAACAGAGGAACACACACTGCAAGACTGATCTGGACCCCACAAAAACATCAATGACATAAGAGGAGAAGAGGCTGAGCTAGGGAAGGCATAGAGCTCAGGGGTAGAGCACTCGGCCAGCATACTCGAGGACCTGGGTTCAATCCTGATCACCGCTAAGGAAAACAAAAAAGCTAACATTTAAAGATTTCAGAAAAATATGAGAGACAGGTTAAGTACATAAAATATAAAACCTCGGGTTGAGGTAAAAATAGGTATAAAGGGTATGACTGTGACCACATGGAGAATGTGAATACGGATCCTGTATCATACTACACGATACAGCTGTAATGATTCTAAGTTCCCTGGAGACAGCAGCTCTACTGTAGTCAACCAGGTAGAGCGGAACGCTCTGGAAACGTACCTTTCCCAGAATGCTGATGGCACACGCCATACCAACTTGTCCGACCCCCACTACTGTGATCTTGTTGTTCGGCAAACCCGCCTCTTCCTCCGCCACGGGTGCAATGAGTTTGTCCTTGAGAGTCGCCATTTTACACTGCGAGAAAAGAATGAAAACACGGTTCAGGTGGCCACACCTGAAATCTGAATGGGCACCGTTCCAATGCTGACCTGCACTTAAAATGAAACCAATGTTATTCCACAGCTCAGAATATACTTCAAGGATATAAATGTGACCCATTTAAAGAATGATTTAATTCAGGACAAAACCTTCATGAAGCCCCTTAAAAACTCCAGCCTAGCATTTCTCTTGAGCACTCAGCAAGTTGTAATCCTTGGTCTTTTTTAACTTTTCTTTTTTTATTTGTGGCACTGGAGATTGGTCCTGCTACCGTCCCAATGAGCCACATCCTCAGGATACCTCTTTTATTCTGAGACAGGGTCTCCTGAAGTTGTCAGGCTACATTCAATCCTTAGATCTTCCTGCCTCAGCCTCCCCAGAGTGCTGGAATGACACGGGAACCATTCGTTTTATAAACATTTTTCTTGTAACCATTTATTTACTGGCTGAGACAAACATTTATTTTATTGATTGATTGATTGATTGATTGAGACAAGGTCTCACTATGTTGTTCATATTGCCCTGGCACTCACTATGTAGTCCAGGATGGTCTCAAACTCGCAGCAATCCTGCCTCAGCCTCCGGAGTGCTGGGATTACAGATGTGTGCCACCTTGCCCAGCTGAAACATTTATATTTCAATAAGCTAATTTGTTTATTTTGCTCCTATAAAGAATATAGCTATATGTAATTATGTAAACTTATTAACCTATATTAATCACAGTAAAAAAATACAGCAAGTTTTGAACACAATTCCCACTACAAATAGTTACTATTACTCTTGGATGATACAAACTGATTTTTTTTTTTAAGAGCAGGAAAATTTATTGAAAGAAAACTTCTAAGAGAGATAGGAGGAGGACCAGAAAGTGGGGTGCCTCACAAACTGATTCTTTTACTTTAAATCTCACAAAATATGTCACAGGGTACTGAATAGTCTATGTGCTTACTAAGCACATGATGACAATAAAATGGTAATGAATAAAGTTTGTGCAGAATCTACAAAAACATTACCTGAATTTCTTTCAGTGTGCCTTGGAAACTTCTGAGAAGGTGAGCAGATACTTAATATATTTCCTTTTCAGGGAGTCACATTAAGAGAATCAACCTTGAATTGGTTTCTCTCCAATTATCCAAAATTACACAAAACAAAAAAAAATTTTTTTTGTACCATGGATGGAACTCAGAACATTACACTTGCAAGGCAGGAGTGGTGCCACTGAGCTACATCCCCACCCCCCAAAATTTAAAAAAATGCAACCCTGTCACAAAACATTTTTCTCAATAACATCTAATTTATCTATATGATCAGAGTAATTTTGACATGACTGAAAAAAATGGCAAAATCTGTTGAAATAAACATCAATTCCATGGCAACATAGTACACAAAATGTACTGTTCTGCTTTCTAAAAAGACAGGTTATGGGCCATAAATAAGTCCCTCTACACAAAACTGTATCCCCAGTCCTTTTAATTTTGACCTAGGGTCTCAATACACTGTCAAGACTAGGCTCAAACTTTTAATCCTCCTGACTCAGCCTCCCAGAATCCTGGGATTACAGGACTCGGTAAAAAGTAGTTTTTTACTTTTTATGCTAGACAGCTGCTCTGAGGTGGCTATACCAGTTTCAAACTAAGTCAATTCATCCTAGTCTTAGTTTTTTAGTTTTGCTTCCAATCTGTAATAGACTAAGCAACAGTACCAGGCATAAAGGTGTGTGTGTGTGTGTGTGTGTGTGTGTGTGTGTGTGTGTGTGTGTGTGTGTGTGTGTGTGTGTGTGTGTGTGTGTGTGTTAGGAATGCTCCAGTTGGAATAAAGCACCTGAACTGGGAGACGGCCATAAAACATTTTCCCAAGTCACTAAGGGTCAAGCTAAGAGATTATTATGCAGATCATATTTACAGTTGTCTACTGGATGCTAAAAAGAAAACACACTGACATCAAAGGGTCCCTAAAAATAGACGACCTTAAAATGAAATTCAAACATGTCCTGCATTTTGAGCAGAATCAGATGAATGCTTTATCTCTTCTTGTTGAACTCAGTTACAAATACATAATTTTCCCCCACTCAAATTTATTTTTAATTGGCTTAAAATCTTCAGGTGCACAATGAAAGCCTGGGAAGTTGTAGAAAACAAAAATACAGAAATAGTTGCTATTATAAATACAAATTAGAGACCACTATAGATTGTTTCAGATCTTTGTAGAAAAAAGCGCTCTTTTAAAGCTTTTCCTGAGAAGAAAGTGGTTTGCATTATATTCAGGTCAGTGACAAAATCAGTATTGGCCGGTAGGAAAACGAAAAGTAATAACGAGTAAAAGAACCCAGGTCTCCTGGGCTTTTAAATCGCCCACTCCCCTGGTACACCGTCACCAGCCTGCAATCCCAGCACTCTGGGAGGCTGAGACAGGAGGATCCCAAGTTCAAATTTAAGTCCATCTTGGACAATGTGGTACCTAAGCAAGACCCTGTACCAAAATTAAAAAATAAAAATGGGGTAGCTCAGTGTGAAGGCCCTGGTATCAAGCCCCAATACCGCAAAAACACAGGGCCTCCGGTCCCCCTCCCTCACAAACCCGGGGCCCGCCAGCAGCCAGCACGGTTGGAGGACGACTAACAACGGGCCACCTCTTCCTTCGGGCGCAGGCACGGAAAACAACAGGTCACGAGGGCGGGCGGGCAGCCAGCACAGAGCCCCTCGGATAAAGGCCCTGGGAACTCGCCCGGGACTGCCTGTCTGAGAGCCCAGGGCCGGCGAAGCAAACAGCGCAGCGGAGCATCCGGACGAAGGGCGCACAGCGGAGCGCCGCGCTCAGGAAGCCTCCGCCCCCAGCTCCGAGGTCACCCTGAGAATCCAGGCTCG